TGTGTGGCTGACTCTGTGCCTGGCAGAGCTCTACATCCAGCTCACTCACCTCCATCTACCAATTCCTCAAGCTTCAAAGCGATGCCAGCTCAACCACCTGGTGGTCACTGTTGCTCACCTGGCCGTCCCTAATGCCCACTGGGAGCCCCTCAAAGGGCAGACCTGAGGCTTCTGGGCTGTGGACCCCTGTCCTGGGCACTAGTCTCTGTAGCTGCTTTGGGAGGATGGGGATGAGGAGTGTGTCACCCTGCCTAGTTCCCGGGAACCCTCAGTCAGGCCCTGTGACCATCCATCCTGACCTGTCCATCCATCCAGCCACCCCTTAAACATCCTGTACTGTGGTGGCTTTAAGGGAGATTTAAGGGGACAGCAGCAATATTCAGCTCCATGTCCCAGGACCCAGAGGGAAGTTGAAATAAGCTCCCCTTAGGACCGTGGCTGCTGTACTTGCAGAAGAGAAGATTTGGTGCCTGCTACTGAGGGTTGCTGAGCTCACAGGGGGGTGCCTTGTCCCTGAGACCCCAGAGGGTAAGGCCGTGCCAGGTGAAGGCAGCTGTGGTTGGGTCATCTTTCAGGTGGGGAGGTGGTGGCCTCATTGCCATAGGTGTGCATGTGCATGAGAACCCCGGGCCCCTCCCTGTGTGGGGCTACGGTAGACAGGAGCCCACATTGGCGGTTAACCAGTTGGCCTTTGCCCTCTGGCCCCTCACCCCTCTGTAATCTGACTCCTGTGGGTTCCCAGGCAAAAGAAGACAACAGACCGACCCTGATGCCCTGTGGGACTTGTGCTGGTGGGCGCGGGGCCTGCTGGGAGGGTCAGCTCTGCGTCCTCACACCCCTGTTGTGCTCACCTTTGTGCCTCACACATCCACCCTTGAACACTCTTCTTCTCTCTTTCCCAACAGTGTCGCAGCCCCAGGCTGCTCCCAGCCCGCTGGAGAAGTCGCCCAGCACGGCGATCCTGTGCAACACGTGTGGAAATGTGTGCAAGGGCGAGGTGCTGCGGGTGCAGGACAAGTACTTCCACATCAAGTGCTTCGTCTGCAAAGGTGAGTGTCCCCCGATCCTCTGCAGTGTGGCCCCTGAAACAGGCCTCCCAGTGGCGATCCCAGGCCCTCATAGCATCCTGGGAAGCTCTGCTTAGGCCTGGGATATTGGAGAACACTCTAGGTACAGAATCTTCATAGGACAGTGTGATCTTTTCAACACAGCCTTGTCTCTTGTGGGTGTGATGGAGAAATCGCCAGAGTGGGGAGGGTCAGGGGATGAGGGTCCAGGTCCCCAGGGGTGTCCTCATGTGGCTACACCCAGCCTCAGAGAATTCTGGTCCTGGGGCCAAAGGGAGGTGGTCACCTGAGCACTGCAGCCACACAGGTAAATAAATGGTCGTGGTCAGCTGCGTGAACTCAGCAGTGGGGGACACGCGGGACCTTTGCTGGACCACAGGCATGCGGGCACCCCCAACCGAAGTAGCACCGAGAACATTACCATTATTCCAGACTAAAATCACTTCAATTTCTCTATGATTATAAAGCAATAATGTAAATAATCTACTAAATTCCAATAATCCTGAAAAGATGAGAAAAAAGCAAAACAAACAAAAAAAATCACATGAGGCCCCGCCAACCGAGATGGCCTGTGCCGAGTCTCCCTCCAGCCTGTTCCTCCTTCCTACACAAAGATAGCACATGTGCCCTCGCTAATTTTCTAAAATTAGATTAAAAATAGCACTGAGGAAGGGATGTGCAAATCAAACCAATTTGATGGATGTCGATGCGAGGAGTTTGCAGTTTTAAAGGAATTACATTAAGGACACTGCAAATCCCTGCTGCGGTGTGTGGCCCGTGCCTGCCTGCCTTCTGCAGGTTCCGTATGACGAGCCCCTGGGCCATTTGGAGATTCACACTCGCTTAACCATAATGACCCTCGATGAACCCTAGTGTGCTGACGGTGTGCCTTTTTCTGGGCAAACAAAACTAGGAAATGTGCCACAAGCAGATAATTGGGCATCATGATTTTCATCAGGCGTCGCATGGCCCCCATGTGATGGTTGTGGGCTGCATTCATCCGCTCCACAAAGGCTCCAGGAGGCCCTGCTGTGCGCCAGCCTCTTGAATGTTCTAAAGACCAAGAAAGCACAAGCTTTAGCATGGCTGCGTTCACTGTCTGGTGAGGGAGATAATGTTAGGTAAGGTGTGCAATACGATTTGAAAAGGTGACTTTTTATAGTAAAAACCAAGCACATGTGTGTAGCGGGGGATGCCCACAGGGAAGGATTTCGAAGACTCCAGAAAGGACTTCACAGGGGAGGTGGCGTGCTGTCTAGAACCTCAAGAGAGTAGAAATCTGCCTGTCAGAAGAAAGGCCGCTCCAGATGGAAGGGAATCATCCCGGCACCAGCCGTCCAGGGGGGACATATGACTGCGCTTCAGAAAGGGGGACACTGAGGTCTGGAAGCTCCAGGAGCTTGCCCAGGGTTTGCATTCCAGGCATGTCTACAGCCCCTGGGCTAGGGTCTTCCCTCCTGGGTTTCTGTGGAGGTGCCTTGAGGGTCTCCCGGGTATGGGGGAGCAGCAGGAGGGGAGCAGGTGCTGTCTCAGCCCTGCCCATCGGAGTGCAGACATTGTCCACTAGTCCGCTTCGTGTTTGCAGGCGCAGTGTAAAGACTGTGTGTAGAGTCCTGTTGCTTGAAAAGGAAGCTTGAAAACAATGGCCTAGACTCTTCTGCTGCTAAAAGGGGACCATCTGAGAACTGACCCTGGTGCCGCTGGTCCTGGAGGAGGCCTAAGTCCACAGCACGGCAGCTGGGGCCCTGCAGGGGGTTGGTGACTTACGGAAGATGCTGAGCCCAGCCAGCTCTCCACTGGCCCTGGGACCCCGAGGGGGCTGCACCATTTCTGGCAGGAGTGGGAATGCCCTGGATCCCTTGGGCTGAGGCCGACCCCAGCCCCGCCCCTCAGAGATGCTGGGACTCTGTCCAAGGATATGGGTGACTATCGGAGACATCACTGGGGGTACTCAGTGCCCCAAGAATCACCTGGATGGGGGATTGCCTGCACATCTACAGCCTGGCTCGGCCCTCAGTGAATTCCGCCCACAGCACCCTGATGCCCTGGGTGCTCCAATACCACTGCCCTGCCTGACAAAGGCAGCAGGAAGCCCAGTTCTCGTGTGCGGACCCAGGCCTGAGGTCTGCTTTGGAAGAATGATTAAGTTCTGGGAGCTGCTTTGGAAGAATGATTAAGCGAACAGCACCCTGTCCAGCACACGCAGGGAAGGATTTGTTTTCTGGGAGTGAGAGCACGAGCTGTGGGTGTGAGTGTGGCCGGCCCCCATCCTCCCACATTTCCATAAACAAGCAGGTGGTCCACCTGCCTTCCCAAGCCTCAGGATCCCCGCCTGGGCTGCAGAGCGAAGGGAGTGTGTCAGCGCCAGGGGCACTTGCCTGGGAGAAGGGGTGGCCTCCGCCCTGGCCTTTCTCTCCCTGCAGCTGGTGGATTTCATGCTTTTCATTAGGGCTTTCCAGGGCATCGTGGGATTTGTCCGGTCTAATTTTTTCAACTCTCCATAAAGATACATTTGCCACATTTCTGGAAAGCAAAATCCATTAGATGCCTCTTTTTAAAAGCCTAGTTTAAAAGACAAAGGGGAAGCTTGCACTTTATTTGAAAGGATTTCCGTAAGCACAGACCTTGGGCCTGCAGCAAAATGCATCAGATCTGAGTCAAGTTCATCACCTCCTGTGACCCAGGGGACTCATGGGTGGTGGAAACTGCCCGGGTCCCCCTCCTGTGTCACATGGGCAGAGGCCACTTCCGCCTCCTCCAGTGGGTGTGGAATAACCATAACCCCTTCCTCGCCAGCTACAGGCGGTGGGATGAGACAGTGTCAATGGCAGGCTGACCCAGGGCCAGGGACTCACACTCCATCACCTAAGACAGTTAGTGACCATGGGCTCCAGCAGTGGCAGGGGTCTGAGGGCAGGTCGGTGCCAAGATCCACCACATACCCACCCACAGCCAGGTAGAGCCTCACTGTGTGCCAGGCCTGTTGGCCCTGCAGATGCGGCAGCCAGGGCAGTGACCACCCCTTCTCCTGGGAAAGCTCTGCCTTCGGTGGGTGGCCTCTGCGCTGGAGAATGGCACAGAGTAACTAAGATTTCCTGCAAGCTTTCAAATGAGCTGCATTTGTTTAAGCCTGAGGACTGTACAGTCTTGGATGAGTCTTCTCTCCAGGCTCTCATGAGAATGCAGCTTATGAATCATTGAGGGTGCTTTGGGATGAATAAAAAGAAGACCCAACTCATAAATATCCAACATGGATATTTATCATCTTAACACGAAGTCTGAAGGTAACCCCATACCCCTACCCCAGGGTTGGCTAATTAAACAACTGACCAGGGTTTAATTAGAGAGAGACGTTCTCTCTCCCACACAGCACCCTGTGCCTGTCATCGGTGCCTCTCCTCATGGTCTCAGATGGCTGCTGTTGCTCCAGCATCATGTTCTCACCGCATGGCATCCAGCCTGGAGGTGTGCACAGGCAAAGGCTCTCTCCTCGCATAATCCTCCCTCTCATTAGGGAGGAGAGCCCTTTCCTGAAGTCCCCATAGACTCCCCATATGACTCATTGGCCAGAACTCGGTCACACATTCACCCCCACTGGCAAACAGGAACGGGGAGATCGTGGCTGACTTAGCCCAATCATGGCCGTCCTCGGGTAGGCACATTACCAGGTGAGCCAAAGCAGCGTCTGTTCGCAGGGAAGACAATTGTATCACAACCTAATTCTGATTCAAGAGGTCCCACTATGTTGGGTTCCCACTCCCCAGGCACTTGTGCCTCAGTTTACCTGGGAAATCTGTGAAATCATATGATTATCGTCTTGTCTATGGCTGCCCCAGGCTTGGGCATTCAAATTCCATCTCTGCCACCCATAGCTCATGTGGCTCTTAGGCAGGTGCCTCAACCCAGTTTTTCTAAGTAAAGGCATTCAACAACTATTTATTGAGCATTTACTGTGTGCCAGGCACTGTTCAGGGTGTATGGAAGATAGCCGTGAACAAAACAGACATCCTGTCCTCTTGGGGACCAGTTCTAATGCAAGGAGACAGACAATAAACACAATAAAGAATAAATAAGCGAATTTCATCATGTGCTAGAAAGTGAGTCCTGCTAGGGAAGGAAAGATGCAAACTGGTGGTCAGGGTGGGCCTCACGGAGGAGGTGACTTCTGGGCAAAGCCTGTTGGAAGGAGGTGAGGGAGTTAGTGAGGGAAGAGTGTTCCCACCAGAGGGAACAGCCAGTACAGAGACCGGGAAGCAGGCAGGTTTGGGAACAGCAGGAGGCCCACGTGGCTGGAGCAGAATGACCAAGGGGATAAGGGAGGTAGAGCCTCTGCATCCCTGCAAGGACTGTGGCTTTGACACCAGCGAGGAAGTGCAGAGGAGGGTCCTGCTCCATCCTTGTAGTTTCCCATGAATCTCTGGGTGCTTGCTGGTACATGGAGGCCAGGTTGGGAGTCGGGAGGAGGGTAGAAGCAGGTGCAGGCGCCTAGACTGGAGCCGATGGCGGCTGGGATGAGGGATGTGAAGATATCTCATTCTGGATGTCTTTGAGATCCAGCTGGCTCTGTCTTTACCCTACAAATGGGAATACATGTAGAACATAAATACATCAAATGCATAGCACAGAGTGCCTGTAAAAACGAATCTGGTTTACTTGGCCTTCAAAGGATGGCTGAGCTCTGAGCTCTGGGAATATGTTTTAACCATGATCTGTTGTCTCCTACTTGCAATGATGAAAAGATGAGGCCACGCCCACGTGTGCCCTCAGGAAAGCAGGCATTTTCTGGTCCAGCTGGAAGTGGAACTGAGCCAGTCCACGATTTTAGCAAGAGCCAAGAAAACAGGCAGGGAGGGAAGGACGTGTGTCCGGAGGAGAGTCCGTGAGCTGCGCACGTAAGGCAGGTGGAGTTGTCCCTGAGGACGCGTCCATCTGGGACTATAAATAGCCGCCTGTTCTAGGCGGTCTGGGAGGAATGAAGGAATGGTGCAAGATGCCTGCACACGTGCCTCCTGGGCATTCCAGGCTTTTATGAGAAACAGCCATGGGCCTCCAGCATCAAAGGGAAGCTCCAGACAGGTGGGCCTTGGACTCGGCCCAGGGCACTCCTTGTTCCGCACAGCCTGAGCTGCAGAGGGTGCCAGGAGAGTCAAGATCACATGGCAGAGTTGTGAAAGTCCCGGCAGGAGGACTCTCAAATGACGTCCACCCATCGCCCTGTTATTCACAGAAGGGGACCCTGAGCCGGGCTGGGCCAAGACTTGGAGCCGCGATGACTGGCCAGCCCTGGAGCCCTCGCCCAGGTTAAGGCTCACTCAGGCCCCTGGGGTTCTCTGTTTTCTTGTGTTTTGATGTGAATTGGCATCTCCTTCTTCCACTCTCCAATATAGAAAAATAGAGAGCAGCGGGTGGACAGCACCCTGGGTGGTCCGTGTTCGGATCTGGGTATATATTCCTCTCAGCTTTCCCCTTGTCTGGGTCTCTTTAAAATTTGAAAGCATGCCGGCCGTATGCCTGATTCGTTCACTTCAAATTAGTGTGTGGGCACTTTCTCACCATACAAATTCCTCACATTCATGTCAATATCCTCCCAAATTCCTTCCAAAGCATGGCTTGTTAAACCTCATCTCATTGATTTCTTTTTCTTTTCTTTTCTTTTTTCTTTTTTTTTTTTTTTTTGAGACGGAGTGTCATTCTTGTTGCCCAGGCTGGAGTGCAGTGGCGTAATCTCGGCTCACTACAACCTCCGCCTCCCGGGTTCAATCGATTCTCCTGCCTCAGCCTCCCAAGTATCTGGGATTACAGGCATGCACCACCACTCCTGGCTAATTTTGTATTTTTAGTAGAAACAAGGTTTCTCCATGTTAGTCAGGCTGGTCTCGAACTCCTGACCTCAGGTGATCCGCCTGCCACAGCCTCCCAAAGTGCTGGGATTACAGACGTGAGCCACCGCGCCTGACCTTCATCTCATTGATTTCTTACAGCCACCATGCAAGATTGGTATTGCTACCTCTATTCTACACATGAGGACTCTGAGGTTCAGAGAGGATAAGTAACTTGGTCAAGGTCACACAGCTGGGAAGTGGGAGGAGCAAGGACTCAAGCCCAGGCTGCCTGACTCTAAAGCCCAGGGATCTATGTATGACATTTTACTGTATCTATAATGCAGGGAACATTGTTGCAACTGAATTTCTGTGACAGTCGTGGTCATTTCCTTGGGACAATCCCAGGAGAGGCACTGCTGGATCAAAGGGTGGGAAGTTTTCACATTCCTTGGAGTCAGTGCCAACTGGCATTCCAGAAAGTGGTGCTGATTCACCCTTTCCCCCCGGCCGCCACCCTCTCCTGCCTGTTTCTTGTAAATGACCACAGCATGTGCCCAAAGGATGGTGCTGCCGTCACCCCCACCTCCCCTGCCTCCTGCCAGTGTCTGTGCTAATTTGATAAATGACAAAACGCAATATAAGAACAATGTGTTGTGTCCTTAAGGACTTCTAAAATGACCAGGGAACTTGAACGTTTTATTTTTAGCAGACAGAGGTCTGGGGTTTTTGTTTCTGCTGTTGTTGCTGTTTTGTTTTTTGTTCTGAGATGGAGTCTCGCTCTGTCGCCCAGGCTGGAGTGCAGTGGAGCGATCTCGGCTCACTGCAAGCTCTGCCTCCCGGCTTCACGCCATTCTCCTGCCTCAGCCTCCCAAGTATCTGGGACTACCCGTCACTGTGCCCCGCTAATTTTTTGTATTTTTAGTAGTAGAGATGGGGTTTCACCGTGTTAGCCAGGATGGTCTCAATCTCCTGACCTCATGATCCACCTGCCTCGGCCTCCCAAAGTGCTGGGATTACAGGCGTGAGGCACCGCACCTGGCCAGAGGTCTGGGTTTTAATCACCTTGTGGTGACCTTGGCATACTCAGGACAGCTAGAATCTGACCAGCAACCTCCCAGGTAACGGCTGGGGCTGGACGTACTCACTTGCCTGGTGCTCCCAGGAGTGGACTCACGGTGCTGGAGTGGGGCACCAGAACCACTGCCACATGTTCCTCCTTTAAGGAACACCCCACACCATCATGTCTTTATGAAGAGTAGAGAAATTGACAAATGCCAGAGCCGTGAGTGCTGTGAGCCCGATCACCATCCAGCGACTGTCTTGGTGCGGGTGGCGCTGATATCAGAATACTACGATGCTCCAAAGTGAGGCCCCCAAGTCTCTGGTTCTCCCCAGTTGGGATGTATTTGCTTGGTCGACACTATGGTGCAAGATCAGACAAAGCATTTTCATCCTCAGCCCGGGTTTCCTTCTGGATTTTCATGAGCCAGAGCGTGGAGTGCAGAGCTAGGGCACCCTGGCCCGGGGCTGAGGCCCACCTGTCTGCAGCTTCCCTTTGATGCTGGGAGTCCTTGGCTGTTTCTCATAAATACCCCAGAACACCCAGGAGGGGCGAGTGCAGGCATCTCACACCATGTCCTCATCCCTCCCAGACCGTCTAGACTGGGTTTCATTCTGGGTTTTCATTCTCACATTGAGACAGAATTCAGAATCAGCATCTCCGGCTCGGGCCTCTTAGGACCAGCCATTACAGCAGCAGCCAGGGCCTCGATGCTGAGCCAGGCAGGACTCAGGTCTCAGGTCGCACTGGCTCACAGGATGCTCATCTGTGCTGCCGTGAACCCCTCTGAAGTAGGTTCTGTGTGCTAGATGAGGACAAGGAGGCCCAGAGAGGTTAAGGAACTTGCCCAGGGACACAGCGCACTATGCAGGTGGAGCTGGGATTTGAATCCCCGCAGCTCCTGCATCTGGAATCTCAGCTGTTCGGTTGACATCTCACCATATCAGAAGAGCAAACATCTCTTTGTAGAAATGGAGAAAACTAAACGCCGGAATACAGGCTTTCCAGTCGCTCTGGTGCTTCCAGCCAGTTTGTTTCCAGAGCGCTGTTGGGGGTTTTGTAGGCAGATGTTGAGGGTCTTGCTTTGGACTTGATATCCCACTGGATGCCCTCGAAGGAATGATGTAACCTTTCACTTTAAAGGTGCGCGTATTCACAATATGCAGAAACGACATCCTTTGCAAGCAGTTAACATTGTAATGATAACTTTTAGATGTCAGCTTTAAAATATATGAGGGCTACATGGTTTCTCAAAGCCCCTCCTTGGTGGCTGTGAGCTGCACTGACCCAGCAGGCAGGACCCAGGACTGACCAGGCCAGAGGGGCTGGGGCTGCAGGGGGTTCCTCTGTGATGCTAGCAGGGAGGGGCTGGGCCAGCCAGGCCAGGGGAGGCTGTGGGCTGCTCCCTCTGAAACCACGCATGGCCTCCACGTGGCCCTGGCACTGGAGGGGAAGCTTATGGGAGGAATGCACTCGTGCTCAGGACAAGGACTCAGGGCCTCTGAGCTGGTGATGACCAGCAGGTCGTCCTGAGGGTGAGTGTTCCCTTCCCCACCTGGCAAAGACCCCTCGGCCCTCCATAGAACTCCAGGGCTTCAGCTTCCTGGGGCGGGTGTGTGTTGGGAAAAGAGAAAGTTCTTTCCTTTCGGGAACCCGCAGGCTCTCTCCTCCTGCAGCGCTGGCCTTGTTCACACTGTGGGGAGACAGGCACCGAGGACCGTGAGGGCATGGAGACCCAGAGGAGTGCGGGAGGGGGCTGGGAAGTCTCGAGCGGGGCTGGAGGCACCAACCACAAGGACCTAGTCTGTCCTCCTGGGAACCTTCGGCCCCAGCACAGAGTCTAGCACACAGTAGGTGATCAGGCCTTCCTGATCTATATGCCCAGTGCTGGAAACAGCCCACTAGAGGACAGGAGAGGCTCAGGGGCCATTCCTGGCAGGGTCACAGAGGCTGGGGGCACCCTAGCCAGGGTGGGAGGCTGGGCAGCCCCTCAGGAGAGCCTGGCTCTTGTCCCAGTCAGCGCCCTTTTCCCAAGCTTCTGTAAGGAAAGTCCACTCACCACCAGGCCAGGGGCCAGAGCCGGAGTCTGTCCCGGGAGCCTGGCCCACCAAGAGTTGAATGAGCCACCCCAAGTGTGTGCTGAGGCCTCGGTGCCTGTGTCAGGTGGTGGTGCGTGTGTGGAGGGGGGTCCACCTGGGGCCTGAGGGATGTGGCGATGGTCCCCTCTGCCGCTAACACCGCCTCGCCCGTCCTCCCCCAGCATGCGGCTGCGACCTGGCTGAGGGCGGCTTCTTCGTGCGGCAGGGCGAGTACATCTGCACGCTGGACTACCAGAGGCTCTACGGCACCCGCTGCTTCAGCTGTGACCAGTTCATCGAGGGTGAGGTGGTGTCGGCGCTGGGCAAGACCTACCACCCCGACTGCTTTGTGTGCGCCGTCTGCCGGTGAGTGAGCGGGCACCTGGCCTCCGCCGCCCCGGCCTTCCAGGCCTTTCTCCTTCCCTCCCTCCCTTGCTTTCTTCCTCCTGCTCCCTCCCGTGATCTGCCCTCTGCATCCTGCAGCGAGGCTGTCCCAGGGCCCACAGTCTGCACCCTTCTGTTGCAGTGTGTCCAGAGGCCTCCCTGTAAGGGCAGGGGTGGGCTGCCCCGCTTTGGGTCTGGTGCATGGCACAGAGCAAGCAAGCAGAGAGTGCTGGCTGCGGAGACTGGGTCCTTGCCCGGGCAGCAAGACTGCACCGGCCCTCCTCTGCCTGTACCTCCTGGGGCTGAGCAGGGAGGCCCGAAGGCAGCCTTCCCACATGGTCCCTACCTCCCCCTTCCGTCCACAGCCCCTGACTTGTTCCTCCCAGAGGAAATGTTCTGTTTCTAGAAAACAAAGAATAAAAACATGAAAAACAGTTTATTTTCTGTTCTGTACTCCCTGTCTCACCACACCCAGTTTGCAGGGGGCGTTTTCAATGTTGTTTCCAAAGCAGTTCCCTGTGGTTACAGCATGCGCCAGAGACAGAAATGGAACCTTTGTCAGAGGATGCTAAGGACAGGAGGTGACGATGACAAGGAGTATTTCTAGGGAGAGTCGCGCTGTGTCATCGTAGCGTGACCTGGGTCAGACCTCTCCCAGGGATTATCTGAATGTTTGATTTTTGTGTACGTAGCTTAGAGATAAGGGTTGACATCTCACAGTTGGTTTGAAAGATCGCCTCTGGTTAATCTATTATTTAAAAAAATAATAACAGACAGCCCTGGTCATGTTGGAGTCACTGGGACTGGACTTGTCCAGCCACCATCAACAACAAGGAAACTGGACACAATATATGAAACAACCATTTCCAGACTCTGGGGCTCAGAACTAAGAGAAGGGAACAAGTTAAGTGAGGTGAGGCCTGTGATTGCCCCAGCTTCCTTCCTGGAGGCGGTTTCTGGAAGGCTAGCATGGGGTTGGGGGAGAGACCCAAGGGGACTGCGGCATTGTCCTGAGGCAGGAGACAGTGACTAGAAAGGCAGGCACAGCTGGAACTTGTTGGGCACGATGCCAGAGGGGTGGGAGCACAGCGGACAAGAGCACCGATCTGCACAGGTGCCTTGGGGTCTTTGACCAAGCACGAAGCCCTGTAGTCATAGAGAAATTTCACACAGTGGGGCAGAGCATGACCAGGTGGCGCCAGCGAAACAATTGCTGGATTTGGGAAACATCTGAGTCCTGTCCAGGGCGGAGATTCCTTGTTGAACCCCAGGGCATGCAGTGTGGACACCAAAAGGGTCATGTCTTATCCAGAAGACAAAACAGCCCCAGAGTGAAGGCTACAATGAACCTGCTCTGCCGAAGCAGAAAATGAGCCTCAGAAAGATCACGCTGGCTGGGCGCGGAGGCTCACACCTGTAATCCAGCACCTTGGGAGGCCAACGTAGGAGGATTGCTTGAGATCAGGAATTGGAGACCAGCTTGGGAAACATAAAGAGACCCCACCTCTATTTTTTTGATTAATTATTTTTTTTAAGAGATCATGCTGATCTGCAAATAAACTGTCCGCCAGGGCAAAGCCCAACACTTTTCACAAGAAGATTTTTAAAAATCCAGCATTCAACGACGTAAAATTTATAAGTGTTCAGTGTCCAGTCAAAACTTGCTGGTGATGGCTGGGCACAGCAGCTCATGACTATAATCCCTCCACTTTGGGAGGCTGAGGTGCGAGGATCTCTTGAGGCTGGGAGTTCAAGATCAGCCTGCGTGACATAGCAAGACCCTGTCTCTACAAAAAATTTAAAAATTAGCCTGGCATGGTGGTGCATGCCTGTAGTCCCAGCTACATGAGAGGCTAGAGTGGGAGGATGGCTTGGGCCCAGGATTTTGAGGCTGCAGTGAGCTATGATTGCACCACTGCTCTCCAGCCTGGGTAATAAGCAAGACCTTGTCTCTCAAAAAAAAAAAAAAAGAAAGAAAGAAAGAAAAATTACTAGTTGTATTAGGTTGTTGCAAAAGTAATTGTGGGTTTTGTCATTAAAATTAATCGTAACAAACAGCAGCCTAATAAAAGGAAACTAGGAAATGTGACCCAAACCCAGAAGAAAAGTCAGTAACAATAGGCCCAGAAATGACAGGAATGGTAAATGAGCACATAATGACTTTAAAATAGCTACTGTAAATATGATTAAGTATTTTAAGGAAACATGAACATAAATAGGAGAGTTATGGAAGATATAAAAAGAAACCACTGGTACTTGTAGAAATGAACAATACAATGGCTGAAGTGGAAAATCTCCTGAAAGGAATTAGCAGTAGATTGGGTATTTCGGAAGAAAATATCAGTAAACTTGAAGACACAGCATTAGAAAGAATTCAGACTTAAGCAGAGAGACCAAAAGACTGAAAAACATGAAAAGCCCCTCAGGGACCTGTGGTTGTAGATCTTTGTCTCTATCTAGATGGATAAGGGAGACCAAAAAGTACTTAAGGAAGGAATTGCTGAACATTTTGCAAATTTGGTGAAAACTGTAAACACATGGATCCAAGAATTTCAATGAACATCAAGCAGAATAAACACATCAGAATCTACCAAATCTATCCTAATCAAATTGCTGAAAACCAGTGCTAAAAAGAAATCTTAAAAGCAGCCCGAGGAAAAGAAATATTATTTACAGAGGAACAAAGGTATGACTCCAGACTTCTCATCAGAAACTATGTAGGCTAGAAGACAATAGAATAACATTTCTTAGATGCTGAGAGAAAAATATCTATCAAATAATTCTAGACTAAGCACAAAAGACTTCCGAAACTGAAGGCAAGACTGCTAAAGGGCATGGGATTTCTTTTGTGGGTGATGAGATTGTTCTAAAATCGATTATGGTGATAGTCGCACAACTCAGAATATGCTAAAAGCTGCTGGATTGTACATTATATTGTATGCGAATAAAATGTCAAAACTGTTACTGAGAAACGAAGGCACTATAAAGACTTTTTTAGACCCACAAAGCTAAGAGAATTTGTTGCCAGCCAACCTACACCAAAATAAACTAACAGGAAGTTTTGTGGGCTGAAGGAAATGCAAAATGAGAACCTGTAAAAGCAAGCCATCGGCTGGCAGAGAGTGCCGTGTTAGATATGAGTTCAAGGGTGAACCCTCACACCTGTGTCTGATGCAGCACTGCTCTACAAAATATGGATTATTTACAAAATATTGATTATTCACAACTCAATAATAAGACCAAAAATCTTGTTAAAAATGGGCAAAAGAGGCTGGGTGCAGTGGCTCACACCTGTAATCCCAGCACTTTGGGAGGCTGAGCCGGGTGAATCACTTGAGGTCAGGAGTTCAAGACCAGCCTGGCCAACATGGTGAAACCTTGTCTCTACTAAAAATACAAAAATTAGCCAGGCATGATGGTGGGTGCCTGTAATCCCAGGTACTTGGAAGGCTGAGGCAGGAGAATCACTTGAACCCAGGAGGTAGAGGTTTCAGTGAGCCAAGATCACACCACTGCACTCCAGCCTGGGTGACAGAGGGAGACTCTGTCTCAAAAAAACTTTTAAAAAAATGGGCAAAAGAGTTTAACAGAGACAACTATAAACCAAAAAGAGATGGAGGCAGGGCTCAATCAATAGAGATTTATTTAGCCAAGGTTGAGGATGTGCCCAGGGTGAAAGGCAAGCCACAGGAGCACTTGCGAGCTGTTCTTTTTCCAAAGGGGGTTTGGGACACTTCGGTATTTAAAGGGGAAAGAGCAAGAAGGAGAGAAAAAAAGGGGGAGGAGGAGGACCATGAGGCAGATAGCTACAGTCTTTATAGTTAGATTTCATATGCTAATCAGAGCCTCAGTAAATCTGTGTTTTACATGTGAAAAGAGGGAGTCAAAGAA